AGAAATTGGTTTCAGTAGGCATCTGGATCTTTCAAAACTGGATTTCTGTTTTTTCTTTTTCACCTTAAAGCGTTGCAGGCGCATTTATCAGTGTTATTTCATTTGGTTTTCTTTCGATATTTGTGGCTTTGAAGATAACAATGAAAGCTTCAAAATGATTGGCTTATTAAACTCTGATGCAAAAATAAAAATTAAAAATATAAAACTTTTCTACTGTATATCTAAGCAAAATAAACGTTATCCACAAAAATAATATTAAAATGTCCTTCCTGTTTTTCCATAAAAATGAAATACCTTTAGACAAACTTTAATTTGCATTCTTTTCCGAAATCGAATGACAACTTTTTGGTGACTTTAATTGAATTTGATGTCAAAATATCATTAGATTTGAATATTTTTAGCTGCTGGGCAAGTCTGTTTTTTTGCCCCACGTTTCTTTGCCAATTTTATTTAAATTTTATTTCATGTTGGCTGTCTGCCAATTTGTCGTTATCCTTTGTCCTGGCTAAATTTCAATTTGATTAAATTTGAAATATAATATAATAAAAGCAAACCGTTTTCATTCTTCTTCTGCTGCTGTCTGGCTGTCTGTTACTCATCCTTTTTTATTGTCTCCCATTTTTAGTTTTCCCAAATAACGTTTGATATGGTTGACAATCATGAGCTAGTCACTGGGTCACCGACAATAAGGCCCATGGACGAATATATATGTACTATCAATCCCTTCAGATAATCCAACTCGGTGGAAAAAACTCTGAATAAATAACCACTGCAGCGGCGAAAGAGGGGTGGCGGTGCAGAAGGAGGGGGTTCTGGGTAAAGAATTGCCACTGACTGTCTGACCACAGGACACACACGATATACGTTAATTTCCAGCAGCGGACTTAATGCTCGACCATAATACTCGTAATTTTTATAATGCCGACCACGAGCAACATACAGAAAAGCGGCTCAAAAAGTCAACCAACAAACAGAGAAGTGGTCTGGAAAATTCTCATTAGGCTCTGTAAAAAAACGTATTGAAACAAATTCAGAGAGCTTCTATAAAGATTATAGAGTTTCACTTAAAAATTTAAAAATATCTGATTAATATTTTGTCAGAGTTTAAGTCCTACAGATATATATTGTAATCACAACTTTTTATTAATAGGAAAAATAGAAAAATCAAGTTGAACGAATTGCTTTTATTAAACATAAATTAACTGTTACAAGTTTTTAGATAATTTTTTTGTTATAAGTCAATTATTATTCGCCTATCATTTTCTGCTTTGTTAGTGTATCCCAAAGTAACGACTATTTCGCTGGGATATGAGTTTCATGCCAACTCCCTCGCTTACTGCAATTGCCTTAAATCCTCCTGGGTCACCATAAAAATTTTCACCACTAATGAGGCCGACGATTAATCGAAAAATGCCAGTGTAAACAATTACCTGCCATCCCGCAGTGCTTCAGTCTGGTGACGTGTTAATGTCACCAGGCATGGCAAAAAAAAAAAAGAAAAACGAAAATAACAAAAATTGAAGAGTTGGAGAAAGTCGTGGCAGTAGTTGCGTCATGTTTAAGTTTACCATTAAAGTTAATTGCAGGGCTCGAGGCCCTTCGGCAATTATGTCTGGGAATAGAAATAACTGGGCGGCTAGAGACGCCTTGTTAAATATCAATTAGACTGGCTGACAAGGAGTTAATCCTCGTGCCGAGTCGCCGCCCATGTACTTCGAAATATGCAACAAAATATTTGCAAAATGCATTTGACATAAAAGTTGCAAGTGCGTCAAGTTGTGCAAAACTATTGTCACACATGCACACACACACACACAAACACCCAAACACACACTGGCAACACAAAATTCCATTAAAGTTTTGCATTTGAAATTGCATCAGCAGAAAGCTTCTGAGTGCGGGTGTTACCAGTGGGCGTGGCCGAGGGGCTTTTGGGGGCGGTGACGGGTTTGGCCTGGTATGTGATGGGGCGTAGCATTGTGGTGGCTGTTGCGTCTAGTGATTGCATCTCTGTGTGTGTGTGTGTGTGTGTGTGTGTGTGTGCGGTGGCTGATACTGATTGAGGTTAGTTTAACCCTAGACTAGCCGGATTTTCCTGGTAGATGAGGTTACAAATTGCTGCGAAATACTGCAATTTGACAGCCTTCCGTTGAAGTGTAGTAACAAACGGCTTTATCTTTGCATTATTAGCCTTTAAGGTTATGATAAACTTTTCCTTTGGCAAATGGGTAAATTTTTTTTTCTTTTTTCTACAAAAATTTAAAAAATATAATTCTAAAGACTTAAAAAAGAGAAAATAATTTTTTTTTTTTAAATTTCAACATGTCTAAGTTTTTTTGTTCATCATCATATGGTTTCCACCGAATACACTCACTTTGATAATCGCTTTCTTTGATCTCGATAGGCCAAATCACTTAAGCCGTCGATGCTTATTGGGTTAATTCATGCAAAAAGGTTATTCAGCTCCCAGCACTTCACTTCACCATCTATGTTCGTTGTTATTTCATTTGGCTTTTCTTTCCATTTTTGTCAGCAGCCAAGTCAAGGCGAGCCAAAAGCAAACGCAAACCGAACGCCAGTCAAGTCAAAAGATGTGGAGAGTTTGAGGGGGATCGGGGGTTGGAGGTTGGAGGTCGGAGGTCAGGAATGGCATCCCGAGATGCGAGAGAGCCCAAGTAAGCCAATCAACACATTCAAAGAGAGCATATTTAAATAGCTTTTAACATGCACGAGCTGTCGAGCTGGCTGCTGTAGTTAAGTGAAGGCCAAAACCAAAGGCGACACAAAAATGCAGCCAAAAAAGGCGAGAGCATAGCAGACAATTTTGAAAATTGCCAGGAAAGGGTTGAGCTGGGTTTCCAGTCGTTTAGCAATGCAGCCAACGTTATGCATTTCGTCCTACCATTTCTTTGATTTACCACCACCTAGAAAACGCATTGGTGTACTTTGGCGCACAAAATGGCAAGGAGTTCAGATTGTCAGACTAATGGACACACAGAAAGGTGTTTAACCTATCCCTGAAAAAAAATGAAGATTTTATACATACATTGTTACATGAAAAGATTTCACTACTCTTTTTTTGAGATAAATAATAAATTTGGGTTTTATTAGTAATTCTCTTTTATGTGTTAAAATTTATCTCCTAAAACTCATTTCGACTAGAGTATAAATTTCAACTTTTGGAACATTTATATTTTTTGGCCTAGTCTGCACAACATTTTAGTCTTGATGAAGCTTAATGAAAAGTTTATAAAGAATTTTTGTAACTTGATTTTTAAAATCTATGAAATGTAAAATGGCTTTTGGTCCAAATTTGTTGTAAGTTAACTTTCAAATATTTCAATCTTATTTAGAGCACTCATAAATGGTCAACGCAATTTCCAGCCTCTTTTAAATATTAAAATGTCCATTAGGCTACGTTTTTTCGAAAAGAAAACTGTCAGCAATATAAGAAAAATAAAACTGCAGCAACTTGCCAAAGGCATTGAAATGCTTTGGACCTTCTACACGTTTTTTGATTTTCGAGTATTTTTTGTTTGAATCGCTGCTGGTTGTGTTGCTGTGACCCAGCCTCTGTCCACAAAGGCGGCAGTGCTAAGCAAACAGTGAAAGCATAAAACATACTCACACACCCACACCATCTCATACTCACACCCCTACCCATACTCATACATTTGGGGGGCATTTAAGCGCATATTTATTGTACAACGTTGCGTATGCGCAATAAATTTTCACAAAATTTCGACGCATTGTGGCAATAAAATGACATTTTTTCATATTTACACATAAAGTCAACGGAAAAAGCAGCAGCAACAGAAGAAAAAAAAAAGAGAAATGAAAGGGGATAGGCTTAGGGGGAGGCGATATGAAGGATGTTACAACGATTTTTTATGGCCCCCTTTGCTTTTGATATGATGCGAAATATTTTCAGCGCAGACATTTTTATTTATATTTATACATACTTTTATCTATACACATTTGATATGAGATGACGGGGACAGCAGCAACAACAACAACAACAACAACAAGAAAAGCGGTGGCAGCCGCAGCACATGTGACAGCAATTGTTTTTGCTTTTGTGTGGCTTGATTCAATGCCAAAATGTTGTTGCAGCTAAAACGCCGCATAAAGCCATAAAATAGGAGAATTTAAGAGGGAAACAATTTAATTTCTGCTGACTTAGTAAGATTAATAAATGCAGTGATACGTCAACTAGTTCTTAAAATGCTGCATTTGTAAAAAAATAAATCCTGAAATAAGCTTTTTGTTTTGGTTGCAATTGTTAAATGTACAAAATAAAGATACTACATTTAGAAGCTATTATAATTAACCAAGAGTTTAAGTAATTGATTTATGTTGCAGAACTACAACGTATATTTTAAGTGTAACACATTTCAATTAATTATCATAATAAATGTGGCCTGTTTATAAGCAGCTGTATTTGCTGATTTTTTAATTTGCCTGATGATGGTTTTTGTTTCGCCCAACACAAACTTTAACTTTGCTTGTTGAGCTTTGCAAGTTTTGATCCTATAAAAGGGCCTAAAAGCCTGTCGAACCCAAAGAGTAAAATGAAAAAAAAAAAATACGTTGGTGCACGCATTTGCACATGCATAATAAATAAACATGGCCACCCGCAGGCAGTTGCTAAGCCAATGGGTGCGGAACGTTTGGGGGGCCGTAAAGGACGGCTCAAATTTACGCATTTGTAATTACGTTGGAATTAAGCCGCCATCAACATTTAATTGCTAAAAGCTTTACTCGAAACGAGCCAGCCACGCATGCGATGGCAAGAGATGGTGGAGAGAAATGGAACATTTAATTAACAAATTTTACGCATTTATTTTCTATTTTCATGATGATGATGATGATGTTGTTTCTGCTGCGATGCTGGCCAACCGCATATGCCGAACAAAAAAAAAAATAAACCGGACAAAAACCGTGACAACATAATTTGCCTGGAACCGAAACCGAAAAACCGAAACGTTTACCGACCGCAGTGAAAACGAAGGACATCGATGCCGTCGAGGGGAAATCAGTGTCACTGCCCTGCCCCATCACGGAGCCACTGGATAATGTGTATATGGTGCTCTGGTTCCGCGATAATGCTGGCATACCTCTCTATAGGTGAGTCCCTTAGTGAGTCCTGAGTCCTGAGTTCTGAGTTCTGAGTCCGACCTGAGGGCTCAATTGGTCCATTGTCTCGGCTTAGGCACACATATAATTAAATGCAAACGAGAGTCTCGAGAGTTGCTACCTTTTTAAATCGTTTGGGGCACTGACTCGACTCACATAAGTATGCTATGATTTCTCCCCCCTCTTTAAGTATGCGTGTGTGTTTGCCTGTGTGTGTGTGTCAGTGTTTGCCTGCGTCTGCGCCAGTGTGCGTAAGCAGGATGTGTGATTTAGCTTAGCGTCCCCACCTGTTTTTGTTTCAGCTCGTGTTTTTTTTTTTTGTTTGACTTTTGTTTTCCCCCTGTCTGCGCCTGGGTATTAACTTAATTATGTTTACCTAATTTAGAGTGATTAACCTCGGGGCATGAGAAACCACAGGAATTATGTGCAGGCGAAAATGTTCAAGTTGAGCCAAGATTAAATTACGGGAAACGGCCAAGTAAACGCAGGTCAGATCACGGGTCACACGAAGTCGGCTCCAGAATAAAGTGGCCATAATTGACGTCCCTTGGTTGAAAACCTGCACTCTGTTAGCTTCTAATTGCATTCACGGCATTTTCACGCCACGTTGCGCCTTTTAGTTGTCAACCAAAGATTTTTTCCTCTACATAATTGCTTTTGCTTTCGCTTAAGGGTATCTCAGGGTGTTCCGGAAAAGTTGAGCATATTAAAATGGATTTTATTTAGTTTAAAAAAGATTTTGAACTACCCTAGCAGCCCTATAAAACATTAAACTTTTGTAGAAAGTTTCTATTTTATTTTAAAGGTTTTATTTTCGTCTATTGATTGCTATAAAAACCGGAATTTTTAAGGAGATCTCTAAATATGACTATAAATTCATGAAGTGTTTCCAAATTGTATATTTAATCGACTTCCAAAGCTATATACCCAGTGTTTATAGAATCTGTAAAGTGCCTTTAACTTTAAAGCCACCCTAATTTAACTTGCTACTTTTGCCGCTGTCAGTTAGGCCAACTCGATTTGTCTTCAGGGTATTACCAAATTCAATCAGTCAGTGCACTTTATTTCCTGTCCCGTCCTCGTCGTCCTTCGTCCTTCCTCCTTTCGCCGTCGGTGCATTTTTATTACACTCAATTTGCATGCAGTCGCGTTACTGGCAGCCGCGTTCACTGCGTATTATTTAGCCATAAACATTTGCTGCATAGGCTCCCGGAGAACTATTATTAAGTTGGGCATTCGCTCAGCAATTTCGCTTTCGCACACACTCTCGCTGTGGATGCCATTTAAGCGAAGTGCAACTGTTTTTTAGTTTTTAATTAAAACGGCGTCGCAAAGGACGGCGAAAAAAAATGCGAAACGGGCGGAATAAAATTTGGGTTAACGCTGGGGAGAGCCTTCGTGCTTTTGCTCCACTTGAGCCGGCTGCTGGCCGTGCCGCAATTAAGTTGTTGCATTTGCAACGAGTGCAAGTTCGACGGCTTCCCGCATAAATTATTGTGTGCTGCATACAAAAGGGCGCTTAACGCTCAGCCCGCCACAGAAACATTCGAAAGTGGCTGCAATCGCAGTTGGTACAGCAACAACAGCAGCAACAGCAACAGCAACTGCTGCAGCAGCAGCAGCAACAGCAGCAGCAGCAACAATTTGGCTGAAAGCGAAAGAGCCATTGAATAGAGACAGAGACAGAGGGTCAGAGTGGCGGGTGAGGACCTCTTCTGATTGAGAGACCTCAGTCTGGTTTCAAATTTGAGGCACCCAAGCACTTTTTCCCCACCGAAACGCTCCAAATGAAAAAATGTTAATTGGTAGAGTCCGCTTTAAACAAATTAAATGCAGCGTAAACCAACGTAAAAATGGCTTCATTTCAGGTGTTTTAATTATTTGCCTTTAAAGTGAGGCGCTTTAAATAAATAAATTTTGTTAAAAATGAGTGGAGTTTTTAAGCTTTAGGCACTTGTGTATTTGTTATTTATGTGTTTTGCTTGTTTATTTATTTGCTTCGCTAAGTTGAAAAGAACACTTTAATCAAAATAATGGCTAAGCCGAACTTCAGCTTAATAAAACATTTTTGTTTGCGTTTTGTTATGTGAATTTTTTATCTCCGTTGGAGTTTATTCCCAAGTATATTGTCTTTTAAATATGGGAGCTCTTGGAAAGTTCGAAACTCTCAGGAAATATAAACTTAGCCCATTAAATGCAGCGAAGGCTTGAATGCGCAGAGCAATCTGAGGCATAAAATGCCTAAAAAGCAAAACAAAAAATATTTTTTATCTGCAGCGCATAAATTGCATTTGGCAAGGCTTCACACACAAACGCTGTTACCCCTCCTGAATTTTCACCCCGCCTAATGAGCAAACCAAAATAAATTACGCTAATTTTCGTGCAAAAAGTTCAGTGGTGTCCGGAAAAGGGGAAGGGGAAAAGCGGGGATGAGAGGAGGTTGAATTATATTGGCTATGGATTTCATTAATTTCCGAGCTGGACGAAAATTTTAGGGGCTTGATTTAATTCGCGAGGCCCGCCCACATTAAATATTAATGGGGCATGGGCGGGTATTTTTCAAGGCTTCCTGTTATTTAATGTTTTTGTGTGTTTTTCTTCCTTTTTTCCCCCCTCACAGTTTCGATGTGCGCGATAAGGAGAGCAGAAACCAGCCCCGACATTGGTCAGCACCGGAGGTTTTTGGCTCACGTGCCAAATTCCATTTTGACTCGCAGCCAGCAACCTTGGAAATTAAGGTGAGATTTACCCGTGGGATTGTGAATCCATATACCCATTAGCTTGCGTGTGCCGGTGCGGATGGGGCGTGATAATGAAACAAATGCGGGGATTTAACATTTCAAATTACCAGGAATTAAATAATGCATTGAATCGAACTGCAACTGAAAAGATGCATTCTCTGCTGATTTTTTTGGGCCGCTGGCCAGGGTCATTTGTCAAAATGAAAAAGTTTAAGCATGAATGCACATTTTAAATAAATAAATGCAAAACCAGAAAATGCTAACTAAATGTGGAAGCAAAAAACTGATTAAAAAATAAAAATAGCACAATGTATTCTCATTTAAACAGGTTGGCCAGAAATAATACAAATATAAATAAATCGGAAGTGCATCTTTCATTTTGAATGCATATTAGATTTTCAACAATATTTTTTGCTCGACAAATGCAATTTGCGATATAAATCCAATGACGCAGAGAGAGTGTTGTACATTAAATATAAACCTGAAATGCGTACCAGAAAAAAACACATCAAAAACGGAAAGAAAGAAATAGAATTGGCCAAAAAGAGAAGGAATCAACTAGCGGAAGCGGCGATGGTGAAAACACGGCTAAGAAGAGCTGAGGAAACTGAACGGAATGTGGAAAACAAATTTAGATATCAAAAGTTGTTAAATTGCCTGGCGCACGCGAAATGTTTATTAATGTCTTGCATGTTTACAGATAACTTGATTTAGCGTTTCTGTCATGCAATACATAGATACGAGCGCCGTACTTATGCAATGTGTTTTCGCTACTTCAATTCGTCGTATCGCATCGTCTCGCCTTGGATTTCCTTGCCCCGCCACGGCATTTGACTTTTTAAAGGCCAACTTAGTTAAGGTCTTAAGTGAGTTAAGCAATAAACAGCGAGTTTGGGGCCAGGAGCTTCGGGGGCTCGTTAACGAGCTGCATTTTCGAAATGAATGTGAAATGCACACGAAGAGGCGGCCACCATAAATCCGCATGGCGAAAAGGGTCCTTGCAATGCCGGCAGGACGAGCCAAAACAGGAGGAGTCTTGCAAAAATTCTTACTTATGAATTATGTGCTAAAATTGGTCTGGGATTGCAGGGTGCGGCTTTGGGGGCTGAGCTTATAAATGAATTTTAATTGCGTTTCAATTGCAAGCCAATTAACTTGACGCTATTTATGAGTGGCAAACGAATGCAGGAGTCAAGGATCTATGAGTGGTTGCCATGTAACGATGGGTGCTATTACGTCCTTTATCAATATTATCAATCAAAGTGTTAGGTTTCGAGGAGTCGTATTCAAATCAAAGAAAAATCAGGTCAAAAAGTCTCGCCGCGATTAATTAATCAAAAAGTATTTTAAAAGGGCTTCCCTCTTTCGCGAATTACTTAATTAATAGTTTGCGCCAGACTGAGCTTCATTACAAATTTTTAATCATGTCTTAATCCGTGATAAGTAAACTTAAAATTTCATTTCACAACAATTCTCTTCTTCGAAATATTAATGGTTTTATGACATCTTCTGTTCATAAACGACAATTATTACGGAGAAGGATAAACCGAAATCAAATGAAATTTCCTTATCTCACTCTACGATTGCATTAAGCAAAACGATTTATTTGATTTGCTGTGATATGTTTGACCAGAAAATGTCATAAAAACGGTAAACGGACTTGCTCAATTGAATAATTAAACAAGTGAATAAATTCGTTTGTAGAGAAGATTGTGCGCAGCAACCAAAAGAACAATAGGTCCCAAAATTGTATTTATTGAAAACTACTTAGATTTCGGACCAGCCCACAAAAACTCTTCAGGCAAAGTGACAGAGCATTTTCGTCCAGTTGAGTGAAAACCGCAAAAGCTCAAGTGTCATGCAATAATTGAAAATTATATGGCTGGGCAGTCAGCCAACCAGGTTTACTGGGTTTTGCTGGGTGATTGTGTGCATGCTAATTCACCGTTTAGCCGCTTGCATCAGAACACAAAACCACAAATAATAACTTACCATTTTTGCAGGATATCAAGCGACATGATCAGGGTATTTACCGCTGTCGTGTGGATTTTCGCACCAGTCAAACGCAAAGTTTCCGTTTCAATTTGTCAGTAATAAGTGAGTATTGCCCCGCAATGAAGAAGCATTTGAATTGAATTCATGAGCGAGAGAGAGCGTCATTGTAAAACGTATCCATCCTGTGTCTGTGTTTCTGCATCCATCTGTTTGTCTCGTTAGTACTTCCGGAGCACCCAATCATCCTGGACCGTTGGGGCCGAGTGCTGAATGGCACTCAATTGGGGCCGAAGCAGGAGGGCGATGATATCGTTATCACTTGTCGTGTGGTGGGCGGTAAGTTGAGCTGGTTGACTACAAAAGACGAACTTAACCCCAATACCCCGATACATATATAAACTTCCCATCTCACCCACAAAAACACATACGAGCCATATCCGTATGCTCGGCTAGACAATTTCCTGTTAATTTCCTTAAAAGCTTTGACCGGCAAAAAAGCAAAAGCAAAAAAAAAAAATACATCGCAGAAGGAAAAGTGCTGCAAATGAAAATATCACAAAGTCTGCTTTGGCTTTCACTGCTTTGGCTTCGAGTTCAGCTTCGGCTTGGCTTGTGGTATTTTTTCAAGCTTGACTTTTTAATTTGCACCATTTTTCGTTTTTACTACCATTTTACTAACTCCCTGTTCCCCATTATTTTTTTTTGGTTTTGTTTTTTTTTTTTTGGGTTATCCCAATAGGTCGGCCGCAACCGCAGGTCCGTTGGCTCGTAAATGGACTGCTCGTCGACAATCAAAACGAGCACAATTCCGGCGATGTTATCGAGAACCGTCTGTTGTGGCCATCGGTACAGCGCAACGATTTGAATTCCGTATTCACATGTCAGGCACTGAATACGCAATTAGATAAGCCCAAGGAGAAGAGCTTCATACTGGATATGCACTGTAAGTAGCGTTGATTGGCTCTGCTCCCTTGGCCTAATGCATTTGTTGAAAGTCTGGGGTGAAACCGAAGGGTTAACCTGGGTTAGATTGAAAACCACAAGATACTTTACTGCTAAAAGGACCGGTTTACTTACAATGATTGAGGAGGAGTATTTAGAACAAACGATTGAAGCCAAACGATTTAAAAGAACTTTAAGTTTTAGTTTACTTTCAAGGTTTGCCATTTTTTTGCAGAGTGTTAAAATGCTAAGAAGTAGATTTAATAGAAGATTTAGTACATTTTGAAATCCTTTTCTTACTTTAAAATTATTAAATTAAATTTCTAAATAATTACTCGAATATATTTTATTTTTTTATTCTTAATATATTTTATTCATTTGGAGACACATTTTGTGTAGCTTTCCATTAAATTAATACTTCGTGCTAGGTAAGATTTCAAGCTTAGAAAACACAACACAGGCAGTTCTTCAGCTCACCTTTTTGACCAAGACCCACCTGTCATAAGGTTTAATTCAGCGTTATGAGGGCCGTTAAATAATTATATGCTAACTGGAGGGAACAACATTGTCGATGGGGGGCGTCAACTCTCGAATGTCAGGCCGTCGTGTTCCCAGAAGCCCGTGCCTTGTTTCCCTCCATCCAAGTCCACTTTCTCGTCCACGTGAAACATAATGAATGCACCAGGAGCCCCAAGAAGTCCAGTTTCAACGAGCAGCAGACACGGCATCGGAAGGCCGGACAAAGTCATAATCCTGCCCGGAAGTGCAGCACTTGAGAGCTGTCGAGTCGTAATAGACACAAATTGTTGTTGATACTACGGCTGGCACAACAAGTACACACAAACCTGGTAAATAAACGTAATGGGGGGTCCCTGAAATGATTGCCATACAAAACGAACTGCAATTATGAGACCATGAAATATTATGGTAAACAGTTTTAATTACAATTGCATTGAATTGAATGTTCTCCGTTCTGTTCTGTTCTACCTGTCCAATTACAGTGAAGCCTCTGGTGGTGAGAATCCTGGAACCACCCAGCTCTATGATTGCCGATCGTCGCTATGAGGTGTCCTGCGAATCCTCTGGCTCTCGGCCGAATGCCATCATCACCTGGTACAAGGGAAAACGGCAATTACGACGCACAAAGGTGAGTGTGGGCGTTGTTATGGTGGATGGTGGATATATACCTATATACTCGGCCGATTCCATGGAATGAAATGGAGTGACCGCAATTGACGCAGGTAGTTGGCTGGCTCCATGCTGCTGCTGCTGCTGCTGTTGACTGACTCACGTTCAGCTCGATAACTTATTGTGTTTGCACAGTCATGCCAAACAAACGGAGCTCGTAACTCCTGACCCACCCAGCTTACCCACTCCCCTCCTTTCTCCCTCCTTCACTCCACTCCACTCACACAGGATATATAGTGCAGAGACAGACGAAATAGTACCAGAAAGAGGAACCCAACCACCCACTTGTTGTCCCTGGGCGTGGTTCACACTCGCAGCTGAGTCCTAGTCCAGTGCCCCCAGCCAATCCCACAACTCGGTTAGAATAAACACAGATAATGTGATATAAACTCCACAATACACAAACGATTCTAGTCCGCTTTGCATTTTCCTTTGGCCCACCCACCTTTTTTTTTTGTTTTGTTTTTTTTTTTGTACCCTTTCAACGGCAATTTGCAGTCCAGCAACCTGGTCGGATTTAGTTATCCCTCGATTTTTCAGAGTTCATTCTCTTTTGTAGTTACTTTGAATATTTCTAGATACCTGCTAACATTGTAAAGTTTTCAAAAAGTTATGCCATTTTACACTTTAGACTATAAAAGGTGGTATATTTATATAAATCAACATAAAGAACTTAAACATAGATGGGCAAGCTTTTATACAAAGAGTATAAGTTTATTTTATTTTCTTTCTAGGACTAAAGCTATTTTTAAAGAGTATTCAAAGCCTTGGTACAGCAAACTAGTTTTTTCTGCTTGTTGTTTTCCATTTTTTTTCGCTTTTTTCTCTTCAACTTTGGACAAATTTATGGGAGTTTTGGCGCAATTTTGTTGCAATTCATTTTTGTGTGTCGGGACCTCGAGTCGAGTCCTGGTTGGCTATATCCTAACCCGGGCCTCTCTGACCCGGCCCGTAGTTTATGTCCATGTCTATCCGCTTATATGCATACACGCTGATTGCTTTGCCGTTTTTGCCAGCTCCTGGGCCAATGTTTTTAAAGACCGGAAATGTTTTTCAGTAGTTTTCATGTAGCATAAAGTTGCCGTAATGCGGCATACTACCTTCCCACCCCCGCAATCCCCGCCGTCTGATGTCCTCGATGTCTTGCCATCCCACATGTTTTACATGCCTTTTCGTACCCTACTTTGAGGTTTCTAATATATGTCTGTGTCTGGCCCCCTTTTCCCCTGATTGTGGGTGGTTGGGTGGTCTCAGGCGGAGTGTTTTAGCTGCGGAGCAGCCCGGCATTAATCAAAGCCCCGCCGACGGTCTAATTGAGAAGTTTAGCCAACGAATTGAAATGGTGCTTGCAAACGGAATCAAGAACGTTGAATAATGTGTGTTTTGAAAATATTGCTCGAATCCTTTTTTAAAGGGAAGTTTCTAAAGCGTGGTTATTGGCAAAAAAAAAACTTATTTTACCTACAATTAAAAAAAAAAATAAATTTACAAATTTAAAGTGCTTTCTGAATTGTAACTTATTTCTGCAATTATTTTTCTGAAGTGGTCACGCTATGTCCTTTTTTCTTGGGTCTCCCAAAACGACCGAAAATAGCTTCGCATAAAATCCAATCGATCATATTACGCTACCGAAGACAAGGATTTATATTCCCGCTAACTGCCGGCACTTTAACACCCTCCGAAGCCAATAACCCGCACACCGAATCACATATCTGGCAGAAGCCCTGCCTCGCAGCGATTTGAGCTGTGTGTAAACTGCTAACAAAGCGAGGTATTGGGGTAAAACACTTTATGGCCATGCCAACTATACGGCGGCGGACGAAGCTCGACTAATTGTGTGACGCCTTTTGTTGGTTGTCCCTGTCTGCCATTAAATTTATAATACCCCAAGAACACACACACTAACTCACACACACACACACACACAGTGTAACGCAGACGCCCACACGTGGCATATAAAACCCAAGCAAACATACCAATAAATTTTAAATTGCAAACATAAAATATTTCGACAAATTTGCAAACAAAAAAGCACAAAGAGACCCAACAAAAAAGGGAACTTTAGCTCGAGGCAAGGTCTGAGCCACAGTCTCAGTCGTGGTTGGCGGGAAAACTTAATTAATGCAGAAACATTTTCTTATATTTTCTCTGCTTTTCTTCTTCTTCTTATCCAATTTTTTTTCTTGCGTTTTTTTTTTTTTTTTTGTAGGACGACATATCAAAGAACTCGACACGCTCCGAACTGAGCTTTGTGCCGACCACAGACGACGATGGCAAATCGATAACATGCCGTGCGGAAAATCCAAATGTGAATGGCCTGTATTTGGAGACCATGTGGAAATTGAATGTCGTTTGTAAGTATTACAAATTGTGCTTAAGTCTAAAGTATGAGTGAAACGTGGTGGGGCAAGGCTTCCCGAAGGAAGCGCCAGGCCAAAAAGGAAGCCCAAGTGGGAGAACGCGGAGCCAGGCATTGCCGACAGGCTACCAAAAAGGTAGACAGAGTCCTGGGTACCGAACAAGACCGGGCTGAAATTTATTACGGCGGCGATGTCGCCATCGCCATCGCCATCGCTGCCGTTGAAAGCCTTTAAAATGCAAATAAATCAAAGACAAATGACAAATTGTGAATAATTTGCCAAAGGGCCAAAACACTGTAGCTTTCGGCCGGTAAAAAGGGGATCAAAGGAGGGCGAAGCACAAATGAAATATGTGGGCTAACAAAATGTATGGCAGTCGCTTAAATTAAATGAAGGACTTTGGCTGCGGCCCTGTTCCAATAAAAATAAATAAAAAATAACTTTGTAAAAGTAGGCCTTAAGTGGAGCTCGCTTACTGCGTCCGAAATTGTTTTGCCGCCATCGGATTTTACCTGCAAATTTAATGAAATCTCTCAGTAATTGTAAGTCCCACTTTAAGCCACTTCAATTCGTATTCCATAGCACCGAAATAACCATCGGGGCAAATACTGCGGACATCGTAAAGTGTGAAACAAAAGTGTCGGAATGGGAGAAGCGAGTCGAACTCAATTGCGTTACGTATACGCCATGTTTGGCGTGGCCAAAATTTTTCCCTGCTTCCCTTCCTTTTCTCGGTTTCCAAGGCCATCGTGTTACGGCTTTTCTTTGCTTTTCATTTCTTAAAATATGAATATTTTCTTTACTTCAATCTGTGATAATGCCACGCCCCTTGAGAACATTTTTGGGCTGCGCCTAACGAATTTCGTCTGTGCGGATATGCATATAGATGTGTATATGGCGTAATGTGATTATATTTTTTATGCGCCACACATACTTTCCCGGCTCGTATTTTATGTTTTAGAATATTATTTTTTATTTGTTTGTTTTTTGGCCACGTTAAAGCAATTGCCATTGCTTCGCACCGTCCTCACGGTGTTGTTTTTTGTTGCGTCGTTGGCGCAAATAAACTTTATGATCGGCACGTAGTCATATACACATAAGTGTGTGCGCAAATGTTTGTGTTTTTGTGAAATTCTTAAGTTGGGGCAGGCACTGTGTTTTCCGTGAAATCTCTAAGAAACGAATGGTCTCTTGCATTTTCTCACAAATTTCCGTATTCCAACAGCACTTGAAACAAATGTCTATAAACCAGGAATAAAAGAAAGTTTTTAAGCTACGCAATTCTGGGAAAATAAATTTCCTGAAAAGCCTTTCTTTTAAGACACTTAAGATATATTAGAAACTCGAATGTGTTAATTTTCCACATCAACTAAAATCAAGTGTATAATTGTGAATCAGACATATTTTCGCTTGCTGAAAACTTTACAATTAATTGGGATTGTTTAGTTAAATATTGTCAATTAAATTTCCACTAGCATAAGCAAACTTCTAACAAGTAAAATTCGCAAGAATGGTTGCCATAACTCCTTTTGAGTTATCCTCATCTCCCATTTCATAAAGGCAGATAAATTCCAGTTTGTTTTAATTTGGGCACCGAGTGAATTTATATGCCTTGGCTTTCTTTATGTTATGTCTTTGTTTTTGTTGGCATTGCGGCTGGAATACGATATCTGCATCACGCGTGAGTTATTATGCCAACTGCGTTTTGGCTCCTTAGGCATGACATTTGCCAAGGCCATTTGGTCATGCTTTATGCCACGCGTTGCCCTTCTTCTCGTGCTCCACACCCCACAATCCTTCCAGCAACTGGCATTGTATAATTTTGTTTATATCTCGCAATGTGTTGGGTATTGTATGTGTGCCACTGGCTCGTTTTAAAATTTATAATGTAACCGAGAAGAGGGGCAGCCTTAGTTGGTCTCCTAGCAATGGAAACAAGACAGAACATGCAATGCAATCACAGACACTCCACAGATTCCCCCAAGTGTGCAGGATTCGAAAGGAAGAAGCACTGTCAAAAATGCAACAAAAAATGCAATATCATTAAAATTGCAAAATTCACAATTTATATTGCAACTGTTTTATTTAAAATCTTAATTGGCCAAACTTTTCATGACAGAATATAAACTTCAATATATGTTCACCCAATAAAAAGTAATTTTTTGGTCTGGAGTATCTTTATTTTTTTTCAGTGCATCTGTAGCATACCCCGCAGCACTGCAGACAATACATATGAATCACACACGCACGCAGACGAGCTGTAAGTGTCTTCCCGTATGTGCTTTTGTGGCCATTGTTTATGGCGGGCTGCTCCTCGGTGGCTGGTGGAGCGTGCCCCGCATTTTGAAAAAGCGAAAGCTTACGCCACATGTATTGCACTGAATGCCACAATTCGAGTTGATATTTTTAAAGTGGCAATAGAAGCTGGCGCTGCCATACATATTTTTTTGCGTTTTAGGGAGCAGTGTCATTTTAATGCCTCTCCACGATGGAGTCCGAGGACAAATCGGCCACCAGGGCATCGTATACAGCGTGTGGCACCACCGTGCCCACAATCTTCTTGTTCACATCGGTCTTCACGCGTAGGATCTGTATCTTGTGTTCGTTCTTCTCGATAATCAGCTCGATCCGATCCCAAATCGGCAACATCAAGCCAGACAAAACGTGATAGGTTCGCACTCGTAAACCCACTTCACATCCCGCCGAAAATGGACAACTGCGATTCCAGTAGATATGAGAGCACCTATCCAGGCAGAAATCGTACTGTTGACGCCAGAAATCCTGCGCTTCCTCGGGCGTTACCTTCACATATCTGGTGGAGATCGAGGCCAAAGTCTCCAATCGCACTTGGGGTCCTGTGTTTGGTCGGTAAATCTGTAAATTTATTTTTCCTGGTCCGCCATCTGCGGAACTTGACTTTGCCTGCAGACACAAAATAGAGGAGTTCTTGTTTTGGCGCAGCTGCTGTAGAATGTAGAAGCCATCGTTGTCATGTTGACCTTCCTTTCGATATCTATGCAGATAAATATTTGTGGGATATGATTAACAATTAATTTAAACTCACTACTCACTTGGCCAAAGCCGTTTCAAAGGACATTCCCCTTTCCACAGTCACGGTGTGAAGTTCGGTGGCCGCTGTTCCAGTGGCATGGCTCCTTATAAATCTCATTAGCTTTATGGACTTTACACTAGCTCCATGGGCATCCAAATCCAAAATACCCATGTCGAAGCGTCCCGTGCGCTTCATTTGCATAATCAGCGAGTACATCCTGTCCAGAAATAATTTAAACAGGGCATTTTGGACCTCCACACGGCAACCCAGGATGCGATTGAGGAACTTGGTGATGTTATTTGTATCCTTTTCGACGCTAAACTTCTTCACCTTGTTCTCCTCGCGAACATTGAGCATTCCCACGCCGGTCATGGCCACACAGCAATCGTAGGCGAAGTCGCCTTTATAGGATGGCGGTATGCTGGCACTATCCAGTGGCTTTTCCCCGGTCAACTGTTGCATCACACTCTCCAGGGCACTGCGACCAATGCTGTTGTCGATATTAAACTGGGACAAGTCACGGGCATCGGTGGCACGACGATCTCCTTGAGTAAGAGCTCCCAAGCTCTCCAATCTTTTGGCCACCGTGGAAGCGAATCGCCTTTCGCCAGCCAAATTGGTTATAACGAATACGTATTCAGGGGAGTTAACCTGATTGGAGCGATGGGTGCGTCCAAATTGTTGGATAGCTCTATCGGCACTCCAAGGCAATTCAAGAGTGATATGCAAACGACGCCTCTGATTGGAAACTCTTTTGTCGCTCTGCAAGGAAATTCCAATTGAGGCCGCATCTGAAATAATGGCCACATGCTTGCTGCCATCCATGAAACGCTGCTTCTCCCGATAGTTGACCAAATCCATCGAAGAGTTGTTCTCGCAACGTGGCTCAAACTTGTAGCCATCATACTCCGTGCGAACAACTCTTCCTCGACGTCCTGTCATCTCGGCCACCAAATTTGTGCCGCCCAGCTCGGAAATCAGCTTGTCCAACGTATTGGCCGGCATTTTTTTACCCAATATCTCGATCTTCTCCAGCAGCATTTCACGTGAGTTAATACAACGCTCCACATCCAGTTCGGTGATGTTTGCCTTTTGGGGTTTTGTGTTGTCGAAGGTGTAGGTGGGTTCGCCATCATTATCCTGGGCTCTCATATTGTTGCACAAGTGCTGCAGAATGCGTTCCTGCATGGTGATCTTTTCTACTATTAGAAAGAAATTCATAAGTTAATTCTTACAATTATAAATAATCAGTTATTCAACTACAAACCTTTGTCCACCTTGGGTGGTCGTCCCCGCCGCTTTCGTCCCATTTTAATGCGATCATCTCCTGTCCAGCTGTTCGCATACATCTCGATATCGCTTTCTCCAGCCTCGGCATCCATATCGTCATCGAACCAGTCGGAATTCATCTTGGCCTTCTTGGGTCTTGGTGGTCGAGAGCGAGCTTCCGGCTCGAATTCCCCTGTATTTAGCAGATGATGAAAGGAGTCGCGTTTGGGAGCTGGAAAGTGCTTCTCAACGAACGACTGGATAATCATTTTGGAAGTGGAGACAAAGGTGTTTAGCTTTCCATGATTACGCTCTAGATGTTCCAGAGTGCGAGATTCCCCAGTGGACTGGAGGCCAATGACCACAGCTTTGCCCATTCGAGTGGCCTGGCGAGTCATCTTGACCACATGACTGACCTTCGATGCAATGCAAAGGTTCTTAAAGAAACGCTGATGGGCACACCAGAATTGCAAGGTGATGATCTTCTGAACTCGGTTTTCCACGCACATCAGACGACAAGCCTTCTGGAATCTCTTATTGATTTCGGCCCAAAGTTCAGCGGCCATGTTGTAGGCCTTACGGAAATCCTTTGGCATGGGCACCTCCTCGATGCGAAAACTCACGTCCTTGAAACTCAGCTGGCGAGCAATATAAGTTCCTCGTAGCTTCATGTCCATGGCCACTATTTCCATGGCGCCAATGCCCCGCTTCTCCACAGCATTCACGAACTCATAGAACTCCGGATAGGAGGTTCCCGGTCCCCAGAGACCCAATCTCACCATATAGGCCATATTTCTTGGCTCACTGGCTCCCGTGGCCGAGGCATAAATCACTCTAGCATTTGGCAGCAGTTTCTGCAGCTCCAGCACAGTAGTTCCCGTCTTCGTGGACTTACCCACATTCATCAAACTCAGATTCTTCGCCTTGTGGCACTCATCGAATACAATTACTCCATCAAACTTCTTGCCCAGCCAATTGACCAACTGTCGCAAACGAGTTTTGTACTTGGAGTTGGCAGTCACCGATTCCCCAATGAGAGCGGTGTAGGTGCAGAATATCACACCCCGCTTGAAGTTCTCATTCTCCTCGGAATCGATGCGACTGTACTTGAACCTGCTAATGGCAGACACTTTTACCTTTTCATGGGCTCCAATATCAGCGAGATCCCGTTCAGCATCGAACTTCAGATCATTGGATACGGAGACCCAAAGGGCACGTTTTCTCCCTTTTACATAATTGTCAAATATTATCCCGGCAATGGTTCGTCCTTTTCCCACTCCAGCTCCATCGCCCAGTAGAAACCCAGCTCGCTCACCGCTGGGCAAGATTTGCTCATGAGCCTGACAGGCATAAATAACTGCCTCCAATTGCAGGGCACTCAAACAGTCCTTGGTTTTCGAGGGTAAGGCCAGTTCGTAGGTAATATCGGGCAGTTCCACGGAAGACAAGGTAGCTGTTTCCACCACCGGATCCGGATGGGCCCTCCCATACTTCAACTTACTTGGCCAATAGGCTGCAAAGGTATCGGCCACTCCGATTTCCTCATAGTCCACTTCCTCATCCTCGACAGCTTGCTCGGGTAGAATAGCACCATCACTGGCCATTAAAGGATCCTTCGTAGCTGCCAGACCCCCGGAGCTGGTCATGGGCAAATTCAAATAGGGCTGACCACTTTGCATTATCTGATGTAGCTGACTGGCCGTAAAACTCTCCAGTTCCTTGGCTTTCGCCTTTGGCTGAGACAACTGCATCGGCGGTGCCACCATTTGTACATTCGTGATCAGGCCATCGGGTCCAGTGCTATATTTCACGGCTATATCCTCTCCTTGGACTCCCTTCACACTTGTGACTATCGGAACATTGAGCAAAGGGCGGTGCTGATTTGAAGCTACTGTGATGGGTACTTGAAAAACACTAGGATTTACCACATGCGTGATATTTAAAGGAATGTTGCTGGTGGCTGCAACTGGAATTGGTGGATTCTGTTTTTCTATCAGTTCCTTAAAAGCAGTATCTTTCTTTTGTGGTTCAGAATTAAATACTGATTCAATGTTCGATTCGGTGGAATCGATTTCCGCCTCCACCATTGGTAAGGAGTCCAGTTCCGCTTGAAGACGTGCTTCTATTTCAGCATCGGTTTCCTTGCGATGAACAAGTTTAGGTGGCTCCACAAGTTTGGGTGGCTTTTTCTGAGAAGCTTCTGCCATCGGTTCATCACTTGCCAACAGAAATGCCAGATCATCAGTCAGGGGTTTATCAATTTCATCTCTTTCATCCAATCCTGCGTTAGGACCGAAGAAACTAAATTCTGGTGGATCTGACTCAGTTTTTATATCAGTCCCTTGAGTTTTAGCTAGAGTCTCCTTATCGAGCTCTAAGAAACTTAATTCATTTTCCACCGGCTTAGTCTTCGGATCATCGCGAAACATGTTTTCCAATTCTGCATGCACATCGTCTTTGATCGGAGAATGAATCTTTTTGGCAACAATTTTTTTTTTGGGTTGTTTCCCTTATGTCGGGAATCTGCTTTTCGATTTTATAAATAGGGATGAGTTTTTTCTTTACTACAGGTTCTTTTATGATGATTTTTTTGACTTTTTCATCTAGACCTTCTCCTTTCGTTCTTATTGTAAGATGAATTATTTTTATCCGCTGCAGTTTTTTTAACATGCTTTTCCTGCGGAAATGTAAAAGCTAGAATTTTACTTGGGTCAACCTTTTGTTTTTGGGGTGTTTTCTTTCCATCAGAAGAAGAGATACCGTTTTCCTTTACTTTTCCTTTCGAATTCTCGTGTTCGTTTTTATTAAAAATAAAATCATCGGTATCCGCTTTAACTTTTTTAACAGCTTTTGGTTTGGGAATGGTGAAATGGAGTATTTTGCCAGGGTCAACCTTTTCATTAGACTTTCGGCTCCTCTTGCTTTTGGTTAAGTTGTCATCTGCACGTGATTCAGATCCCCAAGTAGTACTCTTCTCTCGCTTGCCTTCATTGTCCGACTCTACAGTTGCTGATGCTCTCTTGTGGGATTTTTTCGAAACGACATTATCAGACCATATATCTTGAAAGTTTTGAGCCGGTTCATCGAGGCGGTCATAGTAAGGAAGCCCAGTGTGGCAGGGAGTCGAAGTGGTTGGTGTTTCAAATCCTTCCGCCAGTTGAGCAGATTCTTGAGGCTGAAGAACTTTTAGCAATTCATCCGTCAAGTTTTCTTTGTTCGCATCATTGCGCTTTTTATGCGATTTACGTTTAGAGTTTGTGGTCAATGGTGGCGGTGAAGGCAAAGTAGGTTCAAAAATTTTAAGTACCTGTACCTCCTTTTGACTCACCTTATGCTTCTTCCCTAGAATGCTACTCGTATCAAAGATATTTGAGGTATCCTTTGTTTGCTTAGAAAAGGTGGCTGTTTGCAGTAACGCTTCCTTATATTTTTTATCATATTTCTTAGGGGCTTCTGTCATTTCCTGTGCCTTTTTCTTCGCCTGTGGAGCCTTCACATATTTTGAATAACCTTCCCAGCCTTTACTGCCAGGTGGATTAGAATTCTTTAACTTAGGTCCCCGTTTGCTGTTGGACGACATCGGCTCCTGCTGTATCTCAACCTCGACGATTTTTTTTTTATCAGCGGATTTTTTTTTACGTGGCATTTTACTTAATTGACGTACACTGATATTATTTCACGTTTGGGTTTATTGATTTCAATTATTGGTATGGTTATAGTAATAGTTTCTGCACTGATTTGTAATGTAGGAAACACACTTAGTGAATGACCAAAATGTTTTACTTTCGTCTGACGATGCCTTTAAATATTTTGCACAGCCTATTTAATTTGACAGATGACAAAGTCCAAAAAAGACAAATTTGTGTTGAAAAATCAACGCCTACTTGGTGCATTTTATAACACTGAACGGGTGTTAAAAGCTAAGTTTGTAAAACTCTAAAAAGAATATTGGAATAAGGCTCCATTAATTATGTTGAAATTAAATTAACTTTTTATGTAAGGTCATGAATAATGGGTATGCAAAATAATTTAAAAATGTGTAGGGGAGAGTGGGGATGGTTAAAAAAAAAAAAAAATATTCTGTTTTTTCAATACAGGTAAAAATGTTCTTGAAATTCTTAGCCAAAACATCTTTAATGTTTGTAGTCCTGGCAAATCCCGCGAGGCAGTTGCCATAATACAACAGCCCCTACTTTGCACATAAATTCCAGGCAACCGTTGACTTCCGCTCCGCCATCGATCGAAGGCCGTTTTGGGCCAAAGAAAACGGATGGCAGGATGGGGCCAAAGGACGTAGGGCGACGGTATCCTTGGCGGAACTGTAAATGATAATCACAAAATGGCCTGCAACATGTGTGCGGAAATGCGCGTCGCGACTTTTCCAGCGAAAGAGTTTTCACAGCCCTTTGGGCACTTTGCCTGATTGGCAGACGGCGGGCTGAGAAAAACCCGGCGAACTAAGTGGGCGACGAGAAAAGCGCCAGTGCCACCCAAGCCGGTCTAAAGTTTTCCAGGCCATTCTAAAGTTTCCAGCAGGCGGAAGGGAACTTTTTGGCTTTGGCTTGGCGTTTGGTTTTGGTTTTGGGTTCCGTTCTGCCCAACTCTTGACTGTCGGCGTTTGGTTTTGGCCGCCAATAACTCAACAATATTAAGGTTGGCACGTGCGCCCCCCTTCTTGTTTTTGTCCTTGTCCCGATCCTGGTCCTGGTGCTGGTTCTGGTTCTGGTCCTTTTCCTGGTCCTGGTGGTGGGCTCCTTGTCCTTGATGCTCTTGGCCTCTCTGTTTGTCGCAAAGTTTGTGGCTCGTTAAGCAAATTCAAACGACTTAAGCGGCAACACATGTTGGCAAACAGCGGTCGATGGGCGGAATGTCGAAGCTGTGTCCTCATAACTCTCTGCTGATGCTTCACTTTGTTCCAGTTATTGCTCTAAATCGCTCATATTTGCAAAAACTATTAAATAAGCTTGATCATGACAGTGTGCGGGATTTGGTCGATGACAAGACGGTTGCTAAACAGGAAGATATATGACCTTAAAAAGGGAGGGAGAGATTTAAATTAAAAAACATGAGAAGGATTTATATACATTGAGAAATCTTAATTCTACTTATTTTGCGTCCTTTGAAAACAGATAAATTGGAATAATTTTTATGATGGTTTTTACACAAAAATGTTGCTTCATTTTTCCGAATTTTGCCTTAACTGATAAAAAATGCTCTTAAAAAAAGGATACCCTTATTGGTTATTCCTTTTTTGAGGGTTTGTCTTGTTATTTAAGAGATTTTTTAATATACGGTCACACTGTCAATAAAAAATATATATGTATATTTTAAAAACATATGGCAATTTTGTTTTCACTAACTTAATTAAAAGTTTTCTAAAAATAAAGAACTCCATAAGTTACGTGATACTACTAAACAAATGGGTATTTAATTCAAAATTACGATTTATTATTACTTTTGATATCCCCCCACCAGCAACTGAATAGCAAACTGACTCCTTTTCTTCTTCTTTGCAGATCCTCCCCTGGTGACTTTACGCTTGGGCTCCACTTTGACACCGGATGATATCAAGGAAGGCGACGATGTTTACTTCGAGTGTCACGTACAATCGAATCCTCAATGGCGGAAACTGTTGTGGTTGCATAATGTAGGTCGCATCTCGAGCCGACAAGAAATGAGAAGTGAGCCGGGCGGACAAGGACCGGGTGCCACCAATCCACTCGGAACCGGGCCCAAAAACCACTGAAAGGCATCCCGGGCTGTCTGCTCGGCTGACTCCTTGCATTGGGTTCTAGTTTTAAGTGTCAATAACGTGGCAGGTTGCATATGCGTTGAGGTGCCTGCTCCTCAGTTAGTCGCCGCCATCGATGTCCTGGATGCATGGATCTGCATTTGCTCATTTCAATTCTCGTGGTCTCTTCGCCGGAGGACTGTGGTGGTAGTGGTGATTGTGGTGGTGGTAGTTTGGGGGAGGGATGGTGCCATTTTGGGTAAAATAGTTTTGGGATTTGCGGCATTGATTTTGCCGTCGCTCAACTGCAATCCGCAGTCGCTTGGCAATCACTCAGGCCAAGTTCCCATCCCGCAAACCAACCCGAAAACCCACTTCCTCTCCACTGGGACTGAAGTGGAGGAGCATGCATGTTGGCACTACTGGCGAATGTGTTGGTGCATTTTTGCCTTTCGGATGCGCTTAGCGGATTTTGGCAAATTGAAATTCGAACCCGAGTGGTTTTAAAACGGATTACAGGCGGGCAGTCAGTATGGCTGAATGATCCATTACTGCATTAGTTCAGTTTCACGTATAGATTAACAGATTTAGAAACTCAAAACAATAAACTGAATAGACTGATTTAACTAGAGAAATTGCGGTGAAAGTATCAGTGATAATGTTACTTGATTAGTGGGTTAAAAATAATTGAGAGTTTTTAAAAATGTAGTATAATTTGTTATAAACCTTAAATTTCAGTAAAAAGATTTAAGCTTTCTGAGGTTCAAATAAGAATGGTTATAAGTGCTCGGTTCCTCTTGAATATACTTTGTTTTTGCTGGCAGTGTTAGACAGTGTTAATTATGATTTTATTTTGCTGGCAGTGTTAGGCAGTGTTAATTATAATTTTATTTTTTTCTGTGTATCATGATGACTTACAATCGCCTTGTCTTTTTTTTTAGGGAATCCATCTGGAGCATAACACCACGGCTCGGGTCATCCGCTCGAATCAGAGCCTGGTGCTGCAGAAGATTACGAAGCACTACGCCGGGAACTATGCGTGCAGCGCCATCAACGATGAAGGCGAGACGGTCAGCAATCAGCTGCCACTGCGAGTGAAATGTGAGTAGAGCTGCCTCATCCCCAACCGGAAAACCCTTTAAACAGAAACTGTGATGCATCAGCGATTTTAAGCATAAATTTGCCAAGCGGCACTTTGTTTGAATGCATCATCTATCTGGGAATGCTGTGCTGCATGCCCCCCCATTTTCCATGCAACTCGGAGTAGAGCTCGTCTGTTCTCTGCTTTCTTATCATAAAGTCAGGGCTGCAGCCGTCGCAGTTGTCATACCCCGGCTAAAACCCCTGGCCCACAGTCACAACTCATTTGATGTATTGCAATTTGGCTTTTTCTTCTTCGGGAAAAACTGCTGTTACTGCTGTTGCTTTTGCTGCTGCTGCTGGTGCAGCTCTTATTTATTTTTTCCCTGTTTTGGGTCCGTTTTCATTTTACAACTCAGCTGGGGAGTCTTGGCGCTGTTTCCACGTCAAGGCTGCGAAAAAAAAAATATTTTTCATTTCGCTTTTTGCATAAATACAACATTTTCCTTGGCTTCGTTTGTCTGCGTTGCCGTTGCGAATTTCATATGCTTGCCACATGCGTTGGCTTTGGCCATATTTCATAGCAGCTGCAACTGCAGGCGGAATTATGCTTCAATTTAACAGCCCGCGAAAAGTTGCTACCACGCCCAACTTATGGAGCCAAAAATGTTGCCGCCCTGCCCTTCATCCTGCCCAAATTTATGCAATTTGACAGAGACGCCTGTTCTGATGAGGAGAAGGACGACAACGCTGACGACGACGACGACGATGATGATGATGGTGATTATGATGATCATCATCGCGTAATGAGCCGGGGGTACTGGCTTAGTTTAGCTGGAAGTGCAACTGTGTTCTGCTTCTGAGCGATACACATGTAGCCAGCACTGGTTTTTCCTTTTGCCGTTCTGAGCCATACAAATTGCCGCTCCAACTCAAGTACTGCGCACACAGACACTCATATTTTGACAGGCGCATTGCTGCGAGCCATAAATTAAATGGAGTGCGCCGCCATCGCAGTGGTTGGATGTTCCCACTGCCAGTGTCTCCGACAAGGCTTCTTGCACACGTTCTGCACTGGAAAATACAATTTGATATCCTCAAATTAATTAAGAAATAATACTAGAAGGAAAGCAGTACTACTAGGTTCTAGGTGCACTTAATTAGTTGTTTGGTTTTTGGTTTGTTTTAGAAGTGCTAAAAGGGGCTCCCTAACTATTTTTATTTAAATGTTATATTTTTTTAAAGGCCACCATAATTCAATAACAGCAATTAGTAATATGTAACTCAAGTACAATTTTGCACTGTGCATCATAAATTTGGGATTAGGCTCCTTGCTGATTGAGCCACATGAGCGCAGTTCCATGTCAGTTGAATGCATAACTTGGATGATAAGCCTAAGCTGAGACTATTACAGACATAAGGTTATAATTAAACATTGCATGTGGTACATAATAATTGATTCAAGTAATTGAAAGGGATAAAAGGAAGCCATAGATAAAACGAAAATCTTAATGCGGCCTAATTTGGGTTAAATAACTTTTGGCATTTATGTTGAATAGCATATTTGTAGAGAGTTTTACTTGTTGCGTGTTGCCAGGGGAATTCACCCAAAGGATCTTATTGAATTTCTCCTCACAATTTGGGTCAGTTCTGTGTGCTCCACACGCCTCCACTCCCCCAAAAGTACTGCTTAATTAGTAAAGCGTCTAAGTAATCACTCCACATACTTTCCGCCCTCTCAAATGTATAATGCCAACAAAAACGGCATTAGCAGGATACCAGAATTGGGCGTAATTTTCCGGCTAATTAATTACGCCCCTTGGTTTTTGTGTACAGTTTTGAAGACAAACAATTCATCAGAAATTTAAGTTGCTTTCAAAAGTGTGCGAGTGGAAGAGGAAATGGGAGCAGGAGGAAAAATTCAGCCCGCCGACGACAGCAAATTACACATACGCCACGTGTGCCGTTAGCTAATAATCCTTTAACATTTATGGAACGCCTATTTACCTGGGAAGCACTAAATCATGTTGCCACATTAATTAATTTCCCGTAAACGAGAAAGGCGGCCCTCCACCGGCAGGCTTTTCCAACGGCATTTTCCCACCTCGCGACCCTTTTTCCCGCCGACTGACTGACAGCCTGATGCGGAGGCGTCGCGCCTTCGGTCGGTCCCCGCTGTCTAAATCACTTTTGTGCGTTTTTCACCAACCACGCCCACACAAACCGAATGCTCTGGCTCATTTCCCAACGATTTTCAGGACATTTTACTGTCCTACAGTTGATAAGGTATCTGACTTGTCATTCAACAGGTGCGTAGAGAGTAAAAATAAAATGGAAGAGTGGGATTTCGCAATAACAGGGCTTCGGGGGAATCGAATCTGCTGATTCGGATTTATACAAAATTTATAGGGAATAAATAATTTACGACCCTATTTGAATGACATTTATTTGCTTTACTTTTTAAAGATGTAAGAGGTATGGCTCACAAAGTTATTGGTGAATAGAGAGTTTGCTTCTAAATATACTATTATTTTAAAGTACGTAAAAAATACAAAATAAGTTGCTTTTGCTCTTCATAAATAGTTTCGGTGCTAATTAAGTTTTCGATAAATTTCCATATAATTTTGAATGTCTTTAAATTTTATAGGTGTCTGTAATTTCTCCTGTTTCTTACTTGGCTTAATCTTCTCATTACAGACACGCCCATTTGCAAGCACTCCGACCGCGTGATATTAATTGGCGCCTCCAAGGACGAAACAGTGGAGGTTGTGTGCGAGATTCAAGCCGATCCGCCACCGCGGTAAGTTCAAACAAGAACAAAATTTAAAAACTTCCTGGATTTCCCCCTCGGCGTTCCACATCCCCTCTTTGGCCCTCATAAACGTTTTCTGCTGTGTTGTAGGCGATTGCTTCCGGTTTCCTGTTGAAAGGAAGTTTGTAAAATTGACAAATGATTGTGATTGTGTGTGCGGGCGCGTGTGTGCGTAGCGGAAAATGCTGTTTATTTTGTAGGAAATGTGAGAAAATTTAACAATATTTTGTTTTTGTTTCGTTCGCTATATATTTTTTTGTTGTTGTTGTTGTCGTAGCCGTTCCTTGGGATTTTCTCTTTTATCCGGTTTTTTGTTTGCCGCACGTTTTGTTATTCGCTTTCCCGGACTTTAAATTGTTGATTTTAATTCATTTTAAATGTGCAACTGGCTTTGCCGTATCCATCGCATCCGCTGATGCTGGGATTTAGTCGGAACGGACAACGGGAATGTGGCCCACTTTAATGTTTTTTAATGAGGCCACACCACTGGGGCCCGGCCAACTGCCACTCTTGTTCAGTCCGAGATGTCTGAGGGCTGGAGATGTCTGTCCCGCGCATTTCGACTCGACTCATCTCGTCTTGCCACGTCTCGCGTCGCCTCGCCTTGCCTCGTCTGTCCCTGTCTTGTCTTGTATTTAATTTCAATTTTTTTTGCGCCGCTGTTGTGCTGCTGCTGGTGGTGCGTCTTGTGCTGACGCTTTATGCTAAAATAATTAATCATTAGCCGGCGGAAAATATGCGAGGCCGAGGCCAAGGCAGCTGCGGCGCCGTGTAATTGTTGTGGCTGCTGCTTCTGCATGGCGAGTATCGAAGGGAAACCGGCTGAAGAGCATAGCGCGAACATTAAAAAGCTGCTGCGAGCTTTTAGGCGCTGGCCCCCAAGGGAAGGACTAAGGACTCGCGGGCGTTGGAGGCGACAAGTTAATTTATCAGCATTTAAACGCCTGACAAGCGGCAGGGAAAAAAATGTATTACCACAGCATGTTAATGCATTAAAATTTAATCAAAACTGTTGAGAAAAATTACTTTAAAAACTTTAGGAAAAAATTAAAGTATTGGTTTTTACTGTAATTATGATATTGATTGATACTGATAGGTATTAATGCCATTAAATTAAATTAAATAGAGTATGCTGATTATAACAATTATAGCCACATAATTTCAGCAGTATTTAAAAAAAGTTTAAAAAGAGGAGAGGTAAACGAACCTGAGTTGAAGGATCCAAAGATTAATTACCTGAAATAAATCAATGGAACAGACATTGTTGTTGACATCGGAAATTTTTTTCAAAGCTCCCCCATCGGCCCGCATATTTTCTGTTTTTTATTGATTTCGCTTACCTTTTCTCCCCCATGACGATTTTTAAATGGATTTCTGTTTTTATTGATTTACGTTTATTTTTGCACTGCCAAGATGGGAAAGCGTCCGACCGAATATGCCAGGGATAATTAACCTTTTAAAAGGCTTCCAAATGTGTGGGTCTCAGTCTCTGTTTCTCTGTTTCTGTCTCTGTCCGAGGATTGGCCTCTCCATCCTTCGATGGGTGTGTGTCCGCTTAACCTTTAATATTTTAACAAGCTATTTTAAAAATGGAAAACTTCGCAAACATGTTACACTCGCAGGCCACCGTTTTCCCCCATTTTACCTGTCCTTTTTCGTTGCTGTCGCTCCGCCTGCCTCCTGCACACACTCACACTCACACACACACACATACACACTTCTGTCAAAATGTCAACGCAACTTACTCACACATGTGCACAAACATTTTGCAGGACTTTTCGTTGGAAATTCAACAACTCGGGCGAAACTCTGGACGTGGGCAGTGAACGATTCAGCGTGAACGGCAGCCGCAGCATTTTAAAGTACACACCGGTCACAGATCAGGTAAACACCACCGATTCTCCCCCTCTCACTATATATATATTCGTATGCGAGTGTCCACAGTAGAGACCGAAGTCAGCTCCGGGCAATTAAGCAAGAGCCGCATTTTAAATAATAAATAAATATGTATTTGCAGGATTATGGCACACTGTCGTGCTGGGCCGGCAATGAGGTGGGCACCCAGCAGCATCCCTGTCTCTTCCAAGTGGTGCTGGCCGGTAAGTTTTCACGGACATTGTGGGAATTTATATAAGCACTGTGCCAATGGTCCACACTCAGTGGTTAGGTGGGGTTATGCGACTTAAGTTTCCAGGAATTTATTGCCTTTGAAATTATCATTTAAAGACGGGGAACGTACTTTATTTTCCACTTAAACAAATATTTATACTGCCCGTTAAATTACAAAAGTATTTTTGATTATTATAAGATTTAATAACCCTAATGTAAACCTGGTATACAAGTTTTTAATAAGTTATGAACACTTCAAAGGAATAACAAGTTTAAAGAAGTTGTAAAGTGATAAACAAACCCTCAACTATTTCCATTTCCAAATGAAGCAATCCCATGATTTTCTTAGCCAGCTTAAGTACTGTCTGTCTGGATAATCCCGAATGATTTCACCTTATCCCGCTCCGCACATGAAAGTATTATATTTCCCAGTTGGGGAAAAAGAGGCTTCGCCGTGCAAAGCTTTCTTATGTCCGTTAAAGTCCCCGCATGCATGCCGACAGGCTGCTGCCGGCTTTTGCCTTTTAGTCGGTTGTGTTTGCCGTTGCTTCATTACGTGCAATTTGACCTTAACATGTTAATGCCACATGCAAACACAGGGAAACGGAGTACTCCGAACTGGGGGGGCATACACCTCCGGAAAATCGACTACGCAAAACTGACAGAGTCATACCGAAAACCAGCAAAACCAGAGATGGACCATTGTGCATTTTGGGGACTCGGGGACTTCGTTTTCAAAAAAGGACCAGTACTCATGCCCCCAACCTTTTTGACTTTTCTCGATGCTTTTCCTGCTGCTGCTGCTGCTGCTTGTTAATTTCCTGCGTAACGTGGACCAACATAAATCTGATTCCCGGATGCGTATGTGTGCGGACTGCAAAACCCATTCCGATTCCGATTTCGACTGCGACTCCGATTCCGATCCTGAACGCTGAACTCTGAATCCAGCCCTGCCGAATGCCGTCAGCAATTGTACCGTCTTCAACCGCACCGAGTTGAGTGTTGACATACAGTGCATACCGGGCTATGACGGCGGCCTGCCGCAAATATTTGTGCTCGAAATGTTTTCAACACGCACCGGCATCACCAGGTAAGCATATTAATCAACTATAACTACAGCTGCCAGCCGTTCAGCTCAGTTGGCCCCCGTTTGTCCCCGTTGGCCCCGTTTCGCCTGGGGGCCTGATTTTAAGCCGCTTATGTCCGTTCCAACTTGACCCGGAGCCTAGATATGGAACATATGTCAAACAAATGGCTCCATATCGTTTCGGGAAAACACATTTCGCATTCGTATATGTGCCCGGGCTTTAACCCTCTGCTGAGCCATGGAAATAGTGCTGGCTTTAATCAAATAGAGCAGTGGAAATGAGTTGTATTAAGTTGGCTTTGGAACTAATTTAGAGGTTCCTACTTAGAAATGATTTAATTTATGATTTTTGTAAAGCTTCTTTTCTTAAAATTTGGTATAAAAGACTAGTTAGATGTATCAATCACAGCGGCAATGGCAATCAATAGCCAATCATGTTCGACAGCAATGAGTTTAATTCCCTGTTAAAGCTGGAGGACTAATAATTATGTATGCATGATCATGTTTAGCTGAACACCTCTGCAGCCCCAGAAACTGACAATCGCACTTGGAGTTGGAAGATGTCTGGGCTTGACACCCCCACAAAGATAGATGTACCAGCATGATTTTATTCAATAATAGTTCGGGCCCACCAGAAGCGATAGTGAGGACGAGGAACGAGGGTCCTTTGCTCCGGCAAACGTATTTCGAGTGCTTTCACCTCATAAGATATGTATAGAGCACTCCATGTAGGTGTGTAATTAGGCGTGAAACAGCTCGCTCTTGGGCAGGCTGTTTGTCTTCGAATGGGTCCTCAGGCCATTGCATTCGCAGTGGATATTGAATGCGTGTATATGTTTATGGTAAATGGGGAAATCAAATTCATATGCGCACATAACATTATGCGAGGGTTATCTTCGTATTTTGCTTCCTTCTTTCGCATAAATTTCTGCCAAATTCTCGGTCCAAGGCAAGCCAAATAAACATTTCTTATTAAAAACAAAGACATCATCAAAATGAAAACAAAAGGAAAACGGGGGAAATTGAAACCCATATTGGTCGGCACAAAACGCAACAAACATCGTTATCAATGTTAAAATGTTAGAAACAAAAAAAAAAATATATATATATATAGACATCGAACCCTAATATTTCAGAAGTTTGCAAGGAAAGGATTCCTGGGGATCGAAGGGCAGACCAGTCAAAGCCGCATTCGTTGGCAGAGGCATCAAATTCAAATTGAGGTCATGATTGGAAAGAGCGCATATCTCATGAGGAAAGCGGGGGGGATTCGAGGAAAAGTGCTCGTGGGGTTAGGAAAACATGCCAGTGAAAACCCGTAAAAATGCCAAAAGGAAAAGGGCTGCCAAAAAGTATTTGTGGCATTGGCTTTTTGCTCAGCCCACACATTTGATTAAGGGCTTAATGCCGTTGATTTCCTGGCCATTTCGTTTGATTTAATTCGCAATCATCTTGATTCCCTTCATCCTCCTGCCTCCTCCTCCTCCTCCTGCTGCTGCGAATAACCCTTTTGTCCCTGCGCCTTTCTTGCAGATTCAATTTGAGCAACGCCGAGGAGGCGCTCTTCTCGCTGGAGAACCTGGACACCCTGACCTCGATGATGGTCCAGGAGAACAATTCGCTGCGGCTGCGCATCTACTCGTACAACCAGAAGGGACGCAGTGCCGCTTATCTGCTCCCCGATTTCATAATTGGCTCAACAGCTTACAAGACAGGTGAGTGGCACTACCACCAGCCAGATGGCGGCGCCGAAAAACGTACAGCACAATTTGCCTTGATTGATGGATGATGGCCGGATGTTGGATGCTGGATGCTGGATGCTGGATGCTGGCTTCGGGATGCCTGAGTGCTGCGGTGGGATTGGGGATTGGGGCTCCTTGAATGCGTGGGCTTATGCTTTTGACAAGTGAACAGCTCGCAGCTCGCATCTGATGGCCGCTGTATGCCGAGCATTATATCGGCTTCTTTGGCCTAGCCACAGATTTCCTTGCCTGCATTAATCCCATGCAGGCAATAGGCCTCCCTGCCACTCTCTGTCCCACATTCGGTCCCCACCAGTCGCTGCCAGTGCCGCATGACAGGTGGGCTCCTCCGCCAGTCATCTGCAGTACTTACGCAATCAACATGCCTCCAATCTGCCATCCTGCGTTGGCGTAAAATATGTGTAAAATTACTTTATGACACGGCCGGAAAGAGACCTTGAACAGTGGACCAGATTGCGAAACTTTGCAGGAACCAAGTCCTTAAAAGCCAAGATTAATGCTCTAAATTGAAAATTTCTTTTTTTATAGAAGTTTTCATCAGATCAATCTTCTAAAAATTGTGAAGGCATTCATTTCATTTTTAAAACAGAAAAAAAAATCAAAAATTTCATGCAAAAACCCTTTATAGAATAAATTGCAATAACAATCAATTGCAATTAGAAAATAAGAATATTATGTGTTTTCATGACTATTTTTTTTAGAAAAAGTGAAATCGTTGTTTTTATTATTTCAAAATAAATTTATTAAGAATAATAACTTTTTTGGGAACCCAAAACTAAATGCTATAAACGCCCATAGGTTCAAAAAAAAAAAACTCCCCCGCAAATCTGGGCTTAATAAAAAACTGAATGGGTTTTCCCACTGTCCTTCTAAGCAATTATATAAATCGCCTTCTTCTTACGGCTTCAATAAACATACATATAACTCATGGCATACATGTGCTTCCCGCTCTTCTTATTTTCATGTGGACTTCCTTGTCTAAAAATAAAACCGTCAAATGTCGACAAATTTAACGTTCTGCCCACCGATGGAACCGAACGCCTTAACTACCACTTCCATCGGCAATCAATTTGATGTGTGGAATATGTGCCACACCGATGGCGTTGGCTTGATGGCAATCTATCTAAAACCCGATGATGATTTATGAACGACGATTGTCAACCTGTAATTACGCGACTGACAACAAACAGACGACGATGTAACATTGACATTGTCGCCGGTGATTGTCGGCAGTGTCCTGACCATCATAATTATTGGTGTGGCCATCGCGATACGAATATTCGTGGTGACATTTGTGCACAATTTGCGAAGGAATCGTCATCATGGCAACAAGGCCACCGCCGCCGGAGTAACCGCTCAGCCCAGCGATGTCTTCAAGGTGAGTTGGCAGCGGATTTCGCGATTTTGCAATACACTCCCCAACAACAATCCAACCCCCCCTCCATCAACCACCCACACTTCCGAGCAATTAATGTACGTATTATTTTGTCGTTGGTTGTTTTTTCGCAGGGTGGAAACTTGGAGAAGCCGCGATGGCAGCACACGGACATAAAAACGAAATCGTCTGAGGATTTGGTTGAGGACGAACGTGATCCGGACGTAATACCATCGCAATATGGTAAGATTATAAACAGTTCCTGACACTTTAGGGGGACACTTGACTTGGGGGGAATATGTGAACAACTTAATAAAAAAGTCCGATGCTCCCTTATTTTATTCAATTTATTATTTAGATTCATATAAAGTAAAACAGAAATACCATATTATTTTAAATACTTATAATTATTATAGGTACTAAATATATTTTTTGCAACTTTTAATAATTTTTTTTGTGATAATTTTTTTAGTGGTAGCTCCCAATTTTGTACAGTGCAGGGCAAGCAGCAGTCGTATTGCTCGTATTGCTCAATTTGGGTTTGCTTTTTAATGTCACCCCGCAAGTCAAGTGTCCGCTGAAGTTACCAAGAAGTAAAGAAGCTTTTTATAGTGTGCACTTTGAGCATTAAACTTTAATCAAATTTTATGGCCACTTTTCCGACGTTTACTTTCATGTGACCCGCAATCGCGATGGCAATCGCAATTCGCTATCTGCACATCCGGCTCCTTTGTTCTTTGGCGACCCGCAATCGTAATCAATCTCATCAACACAACAACAACAACAATAATACGACCGATGCCAAACCGAACGAAACCACACCAAACCAAACGAATCCAAACCACGAAACCAAACCGAATCGAACGAATCCAATCCAATCAACCAATGCAATTTTCTTTTAATCGTAAATATTTTTAACGACGGAACCCGCCAATCTAACACACGGACACGGACCTGACCCCCAAACGTGGCTGCTCATCAATAAATTTCAATCAAGCAGTCGGCGGCAGCAGTGCCGGCAGCAGTGGCAGCAACGCTTCAAATGTGGGTAGCACCACCGCCGGCACTGCCACCGGTAGCAGCACCTCCACGGCGGTGGTGACCTCGGTGGCCAATACATCCGCATCCGCATCCGCAGGAGCAGCGGTCGTAGCAGGTGCGGCATCATCGGCATCTGCCACAGATGCCCATCAGTTTGCATCAGCCACATCGGCGGCAGGAGGCGGCGTGTCCAAGTGGTCACCAAACGGCAATGTAAGTACTGAAATGAACAAGGGATGTCAGCTCCTAAATCGTATGTTTTGGAATTAGAGTTTTGTAAGGGGAATTACAAGCTGTCGCATTGCGCAATTCCTATTTTGTTCTTTACAATTAAACTTGTCCTAAAATTTGGCAATAAAAATAGATGATAAACAGGAATCTTTAGTTAAGTAAACAATATGTCAGCATGTTAAATTTACTTTAGATAAGGGTGTAAAGCTTTTTTAATTTGTACAATTTAAAACAAAATCCTCTAGTGCTGCTGTATTCACTTATTTCCCAATGAAATAACCAGGAAATATAGTTTCCATTAATGTTTGTACTCCATTTCCAGCATCAAAGTAGCCACAAAGAAAACCAGCCAACACTTGCATTTCAAAGAGGGAAGCGTTTACTAAACGAAAAAGCACACAAGGCTCTCATCACTTGTGATAGATTGCGAAATAATTAAAACTTGTCACCTCAGGGCATTCATTCTTGTGGGATAGGTAACAGCAAATGAAAGTTAGACAAAGTATTTTGCCGTTTGTGCTTTGCTTTATTCCCCGTAATGCAATTTGATTTGGCAAGGTTTGTTGCAAACCGTCTGCCTGTGAGTGTCTCTCAGAGAAGCATCCAGGTAGTGGAAATAGTCCAGATAGTCCAGATAGTCGGTGAATCCAATCCGAGCTAGCCAAGCTGGAGCGTTTAATGTCTGTCAGCTGTCAGTTGCGGGTTGTATTAACTGGGCAACCAGTGCCCAGACTTCGTGGTAGCGTTGTCCCTTTGTCTTGGCAATCTGGTCGGTGCACTGAAAGCAATCAACTACTCAAATTGTCAAATTGCTAAACAGAATCCCTGGTAACTGGCAACCGGCAGCCAACAGCCAGCCGGTGGTTCTCCATTCTCTGGCTCCCCGAACACCCGACTGTATTAAAAAAAAAGCTTTTAAACTGTCACGCCTTCTTCGAAATTCCCACTCGTTGCCCTGCCACTCAGGTTATAAATAAAAATCCATTGGCTAAATCGGGGGATAACGTGGAGCTTGGCTGGTGGGCGATGAGGTAATTGTGAAATTTTTAAAACACAATATATCATGTTGAGCGGGCCGTAATCAATCAATTTTTGCTTCGCATTTTTGTATCGAGCACGAAACTCCGGTGTCGGATGGCCAAATCCGTGGAGAAGTGCCTCAGCTTCAGACATTTTTTAGTTCGTTTTCACAGCTGATGGATGGGGTGGCTTTTAGAGTGGCAACAGGTGTGGCAAGGGATCCAATGCAGCTGGATTTATATTCAAAGAAAGCAACCGTCATACAGTGTCGAGGTTATTATAAACTCAATTCCGTTTAAATGCATTTCATTTAGAATGCCCAAAGCTCATTTGATTCAGTAAATGGATTTCCTTTGATCCTAACAGCTCTTGAATCATTTAGTACATAATTCCCACAAAAATTAAATCCCATACATGGCGATTGCTTGCCGTATAATAAATTTTATTACCACACTGACTTTATTTTTATATTTTTCTGTTTTATCCATATTTTTTGCGTATGCTTTTTTGCCGACCATTCATTTGAGATTAGAGTGTCGACCGAAACACATTTGTTTTCATTTCATTAAGTTCGCAATTAGAATTTATTTATGGGCTGCACCCCCACACATGAATATTCAAATATATAACATATACATATATATATATGTACATATCTCCTTTATGCGCTGACAACGGTCGAGATCCCCGAAAGCCATTACCATAAGCTGTGCGAACGAGATTAGAGCCGGCAAACGGCCATATGCATCGGCCATGACCAATTGACTGCCAGTCCGCGAATATATGTATATATATCACTAATCTGGCCAAAAACATTAGACCCAACACCGACCCACCGCCGGGGGTTTCCGAACCAATTTGCAATGCAGAAAAAAAGCGAAACAGAAGTAGCTGGGAAATTAGCCAACTCTGCGGTTTTTTTCCACCCGCCACCATGCCGCATTGCATTTGAAAACCCCCAGATAACAAAGTATCCGATTCCGAATCCGAATCCGAGAGCCCAAATCGGACATGGAGTCGGGGCTGAAAGGGAATTTTTGTTTCATTCCGTAAATGGGATTTGCTGCGCAGATTTCAATTACATTTAAATTACCATTCCAGGCTGGCTTAAAATGCGGTTGGTTGGGCGGCGATTGCCGGGCGTTGGGCAATCGCAGCATAACTCAATTCGTTAATTAAATAATTTTAAATATTGCCAACCATAACAGCCGAACATACCAGTTCGCAGCCAAAGCCCACTTCCTCTCTCCCATCACCTGGAAATTGCATTTGAGATTTCAATTAGAATTTCATTTCGCTTTGCCAGCCTGCAAAATAAAAATCGCAAATAACAAAGTATTGGTCGGCAGCATTTTAGGCGTTCTTGCCGAAAATCAAGCATTTGGTATAATCATTTGAGCTAATTGGATTGCGGAGGCGGGAGTGCCGGGCAGTACAACAAATTGTTGTGCATTGCCGGCGTATCTGCGAATTAATTTTTTTGACAGGTGAACAACTAGATTTCAATGGAAGTTCTTTAAACGATTAAGTTAGTGGAAAAGAAAGGCTGAACGAATGCAGTTATTAGCGTTATTAGTTCAAGTTATCAAGTTGCGATTTATCAAATTAAATCGAATCAATCTTCGCCTGAAGTCATAAGGAATTTATGTTGAAAATTTGACCGATTTCTTTAAGAAGATAAAATTATTCAGGGAACCTGCATCCTAAGAATTTGATTTTATTCATGTGTTGAAGTGATAGAGCAAAAATGCTTCTGGCCGAATGCCTTTTAATGTAAAAATTGTTTGCACTCAGAAAAAAAAAAATTATACCAGTTTTTCTAAAGAAATGCTTTTCTTATTATAGATTTTTTTTGCTTAAAAATAAATTATTTTTTATCTCGTTGGAAATTTTTAAAATTAACCAAAAAAGGTAAAATTTTTATTTTTTAGTTAAAATCTTATTTCAGAAACTTTAATGTTTTGTTATCAAATATTAAATATTTTGATGAGTGCATCTATGTCTCCATCTGCTCTGCTTTGCAGGTGGTGCCGCTCACGACGACGATGCTGACCGGCGATGCGGTGAACGCGACTATCACCTATAATCAAATCAACGCCCAGCGGGCGCAGCTGCTGGCGGCGGTGGCAGCAGTGGGTGGTGGATGCAGCAGCACCGTCATCTCGCCCAGCAGCAGCATCCTGGGCAGCCTTGGCAAGCCGCTGGGCATGGGCATGGGCGGAATGGGCATGGGGGTGGGGGTGGGAGTGGGCGGTACGGTCATTGGATCGCCAACCTCCCTCTCCTCGACGGCCACGCTGGCCGCCCACCTGCAGCCGGTGCACAGCAGCGGGGTGGGTACTTTGCCACCGGGACTCGGCAGCGGCGGTGGGTACATTATGAACGCGTACGCCAGCGGACGGCTGCACCACCCACCTGGCGGGGGGCCAACGAGCGGAGCCACCCACACCGCCACCCTGAACAGGCACCACCACCAACAGCAGCAGCAGCAGCACCACCACCTACACCATCCGCACCACCCGCAACAGCACCACTCGGGGTCGAGCCTTCTGATGGGAAGTGCTGGCAGTGTCATGGGCGTTGTGGGTTCCACCACGACAGCCACCACGTCCTGCAACTCCTCGCAGGACCTCGACGATAACATAAACATAAATGCGATTAAGGACTGTCTGATGACGCAGCGAGTGCCCGAGAGTTGTGTCTAAATCTGGGGTGGAAGCAACGGATATATGTATTTATTGTGTAGGAATATAAATCTATGTCGGACGGGACTGTAGCAGTTTTCACATTCATTTTAATTCAAAAAGGGAATATGTTGAATTTATTTGATTACAAAACATATATTATTCATCCTTATTTACTTTTAGATTTATCACCATTACTCTGTTTAAGTTGTGTAAAAAACTTAAATATCTTGTAATTTATATTCTTATATACCATAAAACTGATTAATTTGAATCCTATTTTAGGAATATGAAAACTAAAACAATCCTGTTAACTTCTCGTTAAGGTGCTGTGCATAAATAATCTAAATTTAAGTGCAATGTGGAGTGTGGAAAACCGTACATAAACTGATAGCAAACCGTCATATCTTCTGGTTCAATAGCATATCCCTTGTTATATCAACTAAAGCGAAGAAACAACAGAACAATATCATGAGGATTTTGGGGGACAATTTTCCTATTCATTGTTAAGTTCGAAACTGGCTGATAAAAAATACTTGTTTTTGAAAACAAGAAAATCGGACAATGTAAGAAATTTGGCTTGTTTCGAAAGAACAATGAATAAGAAAATTTGAATCAATAACATTTTACAACACAGTTAAACACACACTCTATTTTACGGAAACTTTAAAAAGACTCAAACAACTTAGTAGCTAAATATTTTGTAGCTAAAATATTTCCAAAATGAGAAGTAAATATCATAGGAGTAATGATAATTGTATATAACATATGTTTGTGGCATAGTATATAGGCAAATTGTATAAAGAGAATATTAATCAGACCCAAAGATCCTTTGTTGTTGTACATAAAATATTGACTACTGTAAATTTATCGAAGTTTAAGTTTGAGATGCCGTCATATCGGCCAATGGTCCTGCTTAGAGCTAAAATAAATACTGAAGTTAAATGTTTAAAAGAGAAACGCTAGATCTAAGCTACAATAGTTCTTAGTAAATGAAAGAGTTTAAACTGTGCTAGGCTAACAGAATTAAGCATGAATATCAATAAATATGTTTAGCTAAGTCGATGAATAATGTGACAAAAAAAGAAAATGGAGTACTCGGAATGTAAGCGAAAGGCGAAAAGTAAATATAGATCAACTACAGAAAAACCAAAAGAGTTATTTAATTATTTGCTAAACCTATTGCGGTGCAAACTTATTTGTTTCAAATCTAATTTGGAAGTTGAGACCAAACTTTGTTGGTTTTCGTTTTAATTTGCACTTTTTTGTGGAATTCACTTTGGACACATGTCCGAAATCCTTTTCAGCCCCACTTGGCCAATTTAAATCGCCACTCAAACTGGGTTGTGCAGCCCGTTCCTGCGGTTGCATAGCAACCACAATTCCCAACACCCGCAAGACAAACCGCAAGTGCCAAGCGAAAAAACTACTTAAAATTTCATATGCTCTCGTTCCCTTGATTTCCCCTCTACTGGGCTTGCCTCATTAGTAAATCAAATTATACCATACGTGGGTGGTTCGAAGGCCTTGCTACACCCACTTACCCATTCACCAACTAAAAAATGGTCAACCGCATGGAACGTTGGATGTTAGTTGAATCGACAGGCTGGAATAAGGAAACAAAGAACGGAGTGGGAATTCTATATTGATTTCCGGCAAGTCAACTTTTACCGACAGCAATAACAAAGAAATTAACCTAGTGATTTAATTATTCGGTAGTCGGCCGAACGTTATGATTTGGGACTTAGTTAATTACTGAATATGGTATCAAACTTAAGGTAAGGTAATACATTAACTATGACCCTTTCCACAATTAAGCAATTAGTTTCTGTGAAATTGTTCCCTAAAACGAATTTATAACAAGTTTCAATATAATTCTTGTAGATCCCTCTATTTTATCGGCTCAAGATATCTCTTCACACGTGTCAGAAATTACCCAGGCAACGATAATTACAGGAAAAATGAAAGAATAAAGCCAGGACAGAAAAAAATACTCTTGTTTCCCTAAGGTCAGAAAATGTAAATAAACGAATTTCCCTCCAAGTTGACCCTCTACTACAAAGAATAGTACGGCCTTTAATAGAAAAAGCAAAGAAAAAGAAAAAATTGTTGGCTTGATTTATGCTTTTGTTGTACTCGACCAGACCGGTCGTGTTTTCCATATTGATTTTTCCGCCCCAACTATGTGTGAAAATTAAATTCCCGTTTACAGTTTTCCCTCCATTAGCGATTAGCACCGAGCCCCTCTTGAATTTCAGTTGCCCGCCGCTGAAGGCGACCGGAGAATTGAATTGAAGCGCATTGTGTAAATCAGCGGCTCAATAAAATCTAATAGCCCCAGCAGATTGCGGCATGGCACGCACCGCATCAAGGCAACGAAAACGGACGGGGGAGTCCTGGATGGTAAACATAAATTACAGGACGGGGACAAAGCTCGTCCTTGACAGTGGCTAAGTTTTGATAGGCATCATAATAAATGGCAAGAGTGACAGCCTGACGTCAGTCATCCAAAAGCTTGAACCCGTTAAGTATTTTCGACGCTGATTGACTTGAAAAGGTTGTCATAAATTAAAGCGGACGGGGTGTTTCCGACTAAACTTGAATGTGACATATTTATTTTTTATTGATATTCAATACTGTTTCAATTTGAAATCCAAACCATTCAAGAAACATCAATAAAATGGCAAAAATATTGTTTTAAAATTCCGCAAATCCAGTTTGAAAAGAATTAAATGCAAATTGGAATCACAAATTTTTCGCATTAGAAGTGGAAAATAAAAGAAAGTTTACCGGTATCATTAATTCCATATTGACGTGAGGAAAGTGCCGTAATCCCAATTCTCCCCGCCGGATGCTTTCTTTGTTCATTATCGAACTTTCCGACGTTATAACGTTATAACACTTGGAGGGCCAAAGCCACCGACGGAGTATTACCACAGGGAAGCCGCTTTGGCAAATTAACTAATGACCCCATGTCGGGGATGCAGGGGGACTAAGAACTGAGCCGGAGTTGTGGAATAGGAGAGGAGAAGAGGGTTTTTCTGGCGGATTGTTGCCAGGAATCGGAGGGGAAAGAGGGAAAGCGGGGGGCGTTTGTTTAATTGTCGTGCGACCCGCTTTTTGCTCCGTTTTAATGAGTCAATTTAAATTCCGATTTCGATTACGGGGAAAGCGTTTTTCGAGCTGCACACAGCTGAGGCCAAATCGATGTTCATTAGCAGAAGGCGAGCCACGCCCCGACCGCCTTCTTTGTTCGACGGCTTCCCCATTCGCAGCTCCCTCCCTCTTTATATTTTTTGCCCCCTGACCAAACGCTTTGTTCCGGGCATTGTCAACGCAATTAGCAGCGAGAACGAGACGAAAGTTTTAAAGTTAATATTGGTTTTTGTTTTTAGCATTCAAATGACTTCGCACGTCCCGCACAAGGTGGTTGAATTGAAACATATTTCGCGATCCCTTTGGGCGAAGGTCAAAGCCATAATTGAAGCATTTGGCATTTATTATAATTTGAATTGTAATGCAGTTTCTTTTTTAGTGGTTTTTAATTAAAAACCAACCGCACTTTTTGTTAGCCAAATTAATGAGTAGGGGCGGGTAAAAGTATGCCACTTTATTTGCCGGCGCTTTTAGCATACGAACTTAAATTTTTTGTTTTTTGTTGTCAGCTGGCCGTTTTAATTAAAACATCATGGTTTTATTATTTGATTTATTGTGCCATCTGACAGGCCGCAATAATCGCCGTAAACAAATGCATATGTAAATGCATATTTGAACTCAATTAACCCGTGACTTCACCGCACAAATTTTGCAAATTTGTCAACCCAATCGCAGCGAAGTCACCGAAGTGGGCGGCCGACGGGTGGTCCTAAAGGCAGGGCCATAAATCTCGGCCTACACTTTCAACTTGACCCCAACGGAGTCGACTCGCTGTCGTTGAAAACGCAGCGCTGCATGAAATGAAATTTAGCGCAACGGCCTCCTTCCATATGCTTTTTGTTTTGAGTTTTTTGGCTTTTTTCCCCGGCACTGCTTATATTTTTTATACCGTTTCTCCTTTTTCCGTGCGTCGCTCAACGCAACAATTTATGGCTAAGCGCTCGTGTTTGGCCTAAAAGTATATATATGTATATATATGTGTATAGAGGAAAACCAGTTACATAGAAACACGTCGATAAATTACAGTCGCCCCGAGAGTCCTCGGTCTCGCCGACCTAGCCGAGTTGAACTAATGACAGTCGAGCAATATCGTTTTATAATAGCGAAAGGGAAATCCTTAAAAAATATCTCGACCCCAAATGCCCTGGTTTGAAGCAGGTGCTTCTATTGATTCACCTAAAAACAACTAGTTTTTAGTGAATCCTTTTTCATATTTGCATTTAATTATTTTCATAATACTTGTCACATTTTTTTCTGTCATTCAATTAATATTTTTTAGGTAAACTTGCATGGAGATGATACAAACCTGATTTTACTCTTCCTAAAACATATTTTAATTGTTGGGTTTGTGTTACAGCTTTAGAAAGGCTGGCAAACATTATCAAAAAACTCATATACCTTAATTTGTTTGAATGGGCTGTGAAAATAATCACGCAAGCAACAAGAAAAATAAATTTAAATTCTGTGTCAACATGCGGCATGGTGAGATGTTGCCAAGTCGTTCTCCCCCAACAATTTATGCAAAAAAAAAGGAAAAAAAAAAAAAAACAAATATACCAACGCAATAACATTGGCAAGGGAAAGTGGTGTGAGTGTGCGAGCTCGTGTATGTGTTAATTAAAATGCCTTAATTAAAATAATTTTAAAATATTTTGCGAGCTGAAAAAGTTTTAACGCACACAAACCGATGTGGGCGGGGCGATGCAAATATTAACGATTCGGAGTGGCAGGAGGAGCGACCGTGGAGCAACAAATTTCTGTATTTTTTCTTTTCTCTATTGACTGCCGCACAGATTGACAACCATGACAGGAGCAACTGCCTCGCCGGGGAGAAGCGCCCCAGAACGTATTAAAAACTTTACAATTTGTGCAGTGTAGTCAAGTTTAATTTTTTGGTTGAGTTCATGCGAAAATTGCAAAAATCATATTCCAACTGTTTGGCAAGCCATCAAAGGTATGGTCGACCCAAGGGCAGGGGACCAAACGTGGTGGTTTTGCATTTGGGGGTGATGGATCAGACATAGACAGTCTGTACGAACTTAAAACTGCAACGCAAAGTGGAACTGAAAAGGGAAGACTAGTGGTTACTGGTTACTTTCAAAGGGAACTGCATTTGGCAGGGGAATGGAGCAACATGTGTTTGTCCATTCATCACAAATCGATTTCAGCGAGCTATTTGCTTAGCAAATTGAAAATTTCCATAAACCTTGATTTCCGGCTTAAGAACGGTCGACAATTGTCCTTTGCATTATCTGTTTGAGTCTCGTTGGATTGCCTACCTTTTCTCATTTTCCCTACTTATCTTGTGCTGTTGCACAGTTAAGTTCCCTCTGCGGTGGCTGCCACTTTTTAATGTCTTATCTACGTGGACTGCTTGTCGAAATGAAGCTACAAATTTAACCCAAAACACACGCGCCTCACATAAAAAGCAAGCGGCGAAACGAAACAGAACAAAATAAGCGAAAGCTGAAAAAATTGTGTTGAACTGTGAAGAGCGGGGCATGCCGCACACTAACCCTTTATTACCTCCCCTCGAGCTCTGTGGGAATGTGGGGATGTGGAAATGTTCCGGAAGGAGTCATAATTATGCCCGGCCCATCGCGCAATGAACGCGGCACGCAAAACATTTTTCGTAATTATCTCTCTAAAACCAGAAAAAAGCACAATGAAAAGTAAGCGAACAACACTAAATAAAAAAACAGGATGTGAAAGTGAAATTCTCTGTAAGCAAGGGCAAACTTAAATGCTCTTTTCAAAATGGAAAACTTTTTTATCAAAAAAAAAAAACATCTGCTATTTATTTATTATATGAAATTTTATTGAATTTTATTTTAGCAGGCTCTTTTAATTTAAGCTTAAGTGATAAGTCACACGTTAATAATTACTTTAGGTGTTTTTATGACAGTGTTCAAAAAAATCAAAAGGTTATTCATATATGTATAAATCCCTTTATTACATTTCAGTGTTAAAAAAATGTTATTAAGTCC